TTTTTAAAACCTGTACTGTATTATTTCAACAAAAATAAAAAAGTCACAACACTGCTCGTAAAGATTACCCAACTCTTAGCAGCCACACATAGATCTCCCCCCCCCCCATGGCTATATGATCCCAAATTGATCCATAGATTTTCCAACAGATTCTCTAACGCCACTTTGCTACTGTAACTGAGTCCATCCACTTTGTTTTTGATTATTTTCTTCTTCTCCTCTTTTCTTCCACCTTTCCCAGCATTAGATCCTTCTCCAGAGAACTAGGTTAGCAAATAGGATAAATTGAGCCTAATCATTTAACCTTGAGTGGGAACTCTGAGTGGATTTATGCAATGATCCATTTGTTTGTTTTCTTGGCTGTCAACAGTATTTTCTGGATCTTCTCCAATACAAAAAATGTCAATACTATTATCAAAGTCCTACTTTTCATAGAATGCCACATGGAAAACATTGCTTGCATGATTCTGATCTTTATAATAGATACATCATAACATCTCAATATCTTTGCCAAGATCTTCATAGCTGCTCTACCAAATGCTGGTCTACAGCATATTTCTTCACTGCTTGTTTCTTGTTAGTTGATCCTATCAGCTACTCAGGAGCTATCTGCCACTTCAGTATTTTCATTGTCAATTCTAAAACCAGTCCCACAAACCACTAAAATTTAGCACTGACTTTTCTTAACTCCCCTGCAGACACTCTGGCTCTTTTCAGTTCTCAGTCAAAATCCTCTTTCTTATACTTTCATCTGATTCATTTTGCGGGATATTTCCAAAATTTCTGGGAGTCAATCCTCAGGTTCTCTGCCTGTCCTAAATAAGATAAACCAGTTATTTTGTGCTTTAAGGTAGCTGCTCCTTAAAACCACTGGGCCTTATTCTGCAAGGATCACATTTCCATAAAGAAAGAAAAATTGATAACCAGAGGATGATCTGCTCTGCTCCTGAACTTGAAGCCTCCTTTCTCATAGACTTCTTGGAATGAATAAACTTCTGAAATACTTCAGCTCTGAAATACTTCAGAGCTGCTAGAAGTGTTTTTAAGATGGAGAAACGTTGCAAAGAGATCCACCATTATATTGTACATTACATTTAAAGGGGATCCAAATGATACTGATACCACTACTTAAGAAGAGTATGTTTATTAGACAGGCGAAGCAGACAGCAAAAGAAATACATTCCCCAGTTCAGGATTTAGCTTCTTCACTCTACTGTTTTTTTCTGTCTTACCCACATTAGGTCCTAAATCCAGATTCAGGTCTTAAATCCATATTCAGTAAGAAGGAAGGGAGGGAGGGAGGGAGGGAGGGAGGAAGGAAGGAAGGAAGGAAGGAAGGAAGGAAGGAAGGAAGGAAGGAAGGAGCTAACTTTTTCCAAGAAATGTTTTTAGTACATTGTTTTGCATATCAGAGGAATTGTGCAAAGGTCACATTTTCATTCTGAAATTTCCCCCCAAAATATACTACGTTTATGGAAAATTATGAGAATGACTTACAACTGAATAACAATCTACCTAATAAACTTGCAGAATTGAACAGTTGCAACTTTTAAAGTCAGAAAAAAATATCTTCTGCTTAGAATATAGACCAATTTCACCTACCCTATCTTATGTTTAGTTTCATTTTGTAATTTTAATTTTTTTTAAATGATATCTATCTTAGTAAATACCGTTACGAAATTAAGCCTGTTTAATTTCAGAACGATAGGTGCAGAATCTAGGGGAAGAGTTCCACTTTGATTTAAGGGGTGCTCAAGAGATAGATGTGCTTCAGAATTTGGCCAATCCTGATAGGAATCCATAACTATTATTGTGACATTAAGGACTTCTTTCCAGGATATGAACTCCATAAATAGGATGGTGATACCATAAAACATTCCATGTATGCAGGATGTGGTCAAAAAGATTAGCATGGCAGCCATGACGGTGCCTTCAAACCTCTATCTGTGGGTGATGTTAGGGGTTCTAACGGATGCTCTAATTAATTCATGAGCCTCGAGACAAATTTCAAAAGAAATCCAATTATTTATTAGGAGCAACATGTCAGCACTTTTCCCAAGTGCAGTCGGCTCTGCCCTATGTAATTTACAGCCCACCTATGACCCTGTTTCCCCCCTCCTCCCAGGGTGTGTCATAAATCACATTCTCCAATGAAGCACTTTAGTGGGCTGTGGAAAACACGCCTCTCCGGCTGGGCTTGGTAACTTGAGACACAATCTGGAGAAAGGTATGCGTGGAATACCTACATTGCTTCTGGTCATAGCAATGAACTGCTCCATCAGATCTCCCCCCACCCCCTCCGTCTTATGGCAACTCGAGAGTAAGCCAGGAATGCTTTACGAGTTGACAGGTGATGCGCATAAAAAACGGGCAATGCTTTGATGTCATTGTTGCAGCTTCCACCTTGATTTTTTTTTTTTTAACCTTACGCTGACCATTCCCCCCATAATCCAAATTATGGAATTTGCAGTAGCTTTAACTTTATATATTAAGATAATTATTATAATTATATAAATATAAGTAAATATAGCTATTACATCCCCAATATCCTCTCAGGGATCTGCAAAATCAAAATTATTTGCCAGCCAATGTTGAAATAGAATACAATATTAATATCCCACCAAATAATTGTGAGAAGCGGTAGCAGCGGCAGGCACATCAATTATAATTTTTGATACAGTACATATTAATAAATGTAACCTACAAAAAGAAAAAAAACTATTTCATTGGGAAAATAAAAAAATTCCAACAGAGGAGGAAATGATTAGGAAAATAATGGAATGTGCGGAAATGAGTAGATTGACAATGGCAATTAGAGAACAGGTAGAAAAAGAGTATTATAAGATTTGGGATTTATTTTATGAATGGTTAGATAGAAGAGTAAAAAACTGAAATATAGGATAACAGTAATAATATCTTTGATTATCTTTGAATGAGTAAGAATATGAATATCACATAGTAAGGATGAGATTTGTCTTGAAAGATGATACAGAATTGAAATTATATGGTTAATGATAATATAATAATGGAATAATATGATGTAGATTGTTGACTAGAATGGTCTATGAATATAATCAAATAAGAAATTTACAACAATACTACTATGCGCGCAAGATAGATGTACCCAACCAACACACTGTAAAATTGAAAGATGGTTTTATTTGTCGTTTTTGTTCTAAAAATAAAAAACTTTTTAATACAAAAAAAAGAAAAGAAAAATTCTTTTTGTGTCTTGCGTAATTTTTAAAAGTGGGAAGGAGTCCTGAGAGGAAAAAACCCTGATTACATTATTGCAGATTAAAATATATAAAAATAAATATTATTCTTGCTTTTAAAAAAGGGATTATTTGCTTTCCCACTGTAGAAAGTTAGCACCCACCCCTCTCCTAGAAGAATGGAATATTCTAGGAAATATTTAAAAAGCAGAATATTATACTTCCCTGGATGAGAAAAGGAGAAACGTATTTTTAAAGACAAAGCAGCTCTCTGCCCCCACCACCTCTCCAGCTCCAAGGTGATGGGATTAAGACAGGACATAATAGGATTAGCCCTTTACCCATCTCACCACATGGCACCTGGGAAGATTACATCATCCAGCGGGATTCAACCCCTTGACAGCAACCAATCAGGATACTCTTCCTGTGCCCCAGGAAGTTCAAAGCTTAGAGAGGGCATAAAACTCAGGGATCTCAGCATCTCTTCCCTTTTTCGCCCAGGATCTCCAAGGCATGTGATCCTGTCCACCATTAAACCTTCTTTCCAAGCAACTTCCATGAATCCGTTGTCTTTTTTCCCCACTTGGAACTGGACCCGGAAGGATATTTCTTCCAACACCCACTTTCCCAAAAGTACACACACGTGTGCGCGCACACACACACACACACACGAGCATCCTATAGAATTACTGTATGCTCATGACCATATTGATCCAGCATTTTTCAAGACTAACTTTAAGATATTTTTTGTAGCAAATATTTTGAGAATTATTCCTATACCTATTCACTTCCAGGACAGCTTTTTTTTAAAAAAATTCATGAAATGGCCAGAAGTTTTTCCTGCCAACCGCCAGCCAGAAAAGCATCAGGGAAACCAGAACATCCATGAAAAAAAGCATAATTGTTCCATTTGTAAAACAAAAGAGGAATTAATCTTTCCATGTTTAGCAGATTTCACGTTTAACTGATCTGGGCTGTCTGCAGGAAAAAAAAAAAAACTGCTGCAATGATCATAGCTCCATCCATTTCCTACATGCATTGCATATATGCAAGACACAATTTAAAAAAAACATAATGGTTGCCATCTTGACATTTTTAACCTTCAGACACAATATGGGAGCCCTGATTTTGCTGGTTTTTTGAAAAGGGTATTGATGGCCGGTCATACCCTTTTGTTGTAACCCATCTCACCTTCCAATTATCCCTCCCTCTGTCTGGAACAGCTGACTAGGAATTCTGGGATCTGCAATCCCAAGGCATCAAATAGGAGCAGATGTAGGGAAGCTGCCAGAGGTGGCATTCAGCAGGTTCTGACCAGTTCTGGAGAACCGGTAGTGGAAATTTTGAGTAAGTTGGAGAACCGGAAAATACCACCTCTGACTGGCCCTGCCCCCAATCTATTCACTGCCTCCTGAGTCCCAGCTGATCGGCTGGGTCTTCTTTGGTTGCCCTGCACAGGAGAATGGAGCTGGAAAGCAGGTTAGTGGGGTGGGGGAGAGAATGGAGATTTTGCAGTGTGCTTCCCCTGGAGTGGGGTGGGAATGGAGATTTTGCAGTATCCTTCCCCTGCCATGCCCACCAAGCCATGCCCACCAAGCCACGCCCATAGAACCAGTAGTAAAAAAAAACATTATCCTGCTCACTGCCCCTAAGATCCAGCAGTCTAAAACATATGAAGAATAATTGCAAGAATTGGACACGCCTAGTTTAATGAAAAGAAGGACTAGTGGTGACCTGATAGCAGTGTTTCAATATTTAAGGGGTTGCCACAAAAAAGAGGCAGCACATCATCCTTTCAGAAATGCTGAAGCTGGCAAGAGGCGATGGGCACATGTGCCTTCCAACCATTTTCATGAGTCCATCACATTTCTTCCCTACAACTTCTCTTCCTTCTTGTCAACGATGCTGTAGTAATACGTGCGGATCAGTGTCTCCACAGCAGCAAAGTTTGGGCGGTCTTCCCATCTGGCAACAAGAAAGTAGACATGTCAGAAATAAGGGGAATCTCTACAGACATCTGCAAAAAAACCAACCAATTTCCGAGAGCACCAAGGACTCCTCATTTCAGCTTTGAACTACAAATATTATTCTCCTTTATCGGTACCGAAAAGCATGTTTTCTCAGTCTAGAAATATGACCCTCTGCTGCCAAACTGTTGTGGTTAGCTGGCAGCAGGTGCGGATGGTGGAGGAGAGTGAGGACTCGGATGAAGGGCCAGGACCATTAGGGAGTGGACTGCTGCCTTCAGGGATTGTGGGAGCTGGCAGTAGTGATGAGGAGGTTCCCGAGGAGCCTGTGCCAAATGCGCGTGAGCGCAGGATGATTCGTAGAAGAGAACAGCTGGAGCAGCACAGGCGACTCGGGAGTAAGGATGCAACATAATGGCCCCTCCCTCCAGGGAATATAAGCCTGGTTTCAAAAGGTTTTTGCCTTTGCAGAAGGCAAAAACGGTCTAACGAGTCACACAATGCTTATCTGAAGAATTCTGTCAAGGCTTTTCTGGTTGGACTAATTGGCTGCAAGCCATCTTTTATCCACAAAGAAGTTATTTGTAGATTAAAGCTGTGAAGAGTTGCTGCGTTTGTTTGAGATTTTCTTGCTGGTGACAGGGTTGGGTCAGAACACAAACCGAAAGAGAAGGTGATGGTCTCGCCTTACTTGTAAGTCCAACATAGGTTCATCAACTTGTACATCTCTTCTGGACAGCTGGATGGACATTCCATACGCTTCCCTTCTTCGAGGAACGCCATGACTTCGGGTCCTTTCATTCTCTAGAAGGGGAGAAAGAGATTGGTTAATGAAGCTGAGCATCCGTTTTGGTAAAACATTAGAGTCAGCCCCACTAAAGTAGACTAGACCTTGACATCAAGTGCACAGGAAAGCTAAAACTACTTTGATTGACACTGGCTATAATAAGAGTTTTGCAAGTCTGATTGTGCTATACCTTCTTCTCCTTCTTATACTCTTGTGAATTAGGGAGGTGTCGCTTTGAACTGTTCACTAGTGTTTTCTGGCTCTTATGGACTTAAAAAAAAATGCTTCGCCTCCTTTTGCCTATGCAATATTTCTATCAAAGTCATCTTCCTTACTGTCTATAGCAGTGATGGCTAACCTATGACACGTGTGTCACTCGTGACACGCCGAGGCACTTTGACTGACACGCCTGTTGGTGTGGGGAAAACCTGCACATTTAGAGGCTGCCTGTGCTCTGCTCCAATCCCTGCTCCCTGCTTGTTGCGGGGAGGCATGGTGTCACCGCTGCCGCAAGATCTTTGCAGCAGAGAACCAGTTTTAACCACCATAAACTGAAGTTTGTCAGTTTCATTACCTCAGGAACGCTACAGGAGGAAAGGTGATCCATGAGGTTCACAGCCCTGTAAGGTGGCCTTCCGATCCCCACATCCTGCACCTGCAGCCCTGAGACCAGGGAGACGAGTTTCACAGCCCTGTGTGATCACCCCAGCCCAGTCCGTCATAAACCAAATTATTGATATTTCTTGAAGTGACACACGACCCGAGGAAGGCTACACTTTTTCCCGATTTTCGACACACCAAGCTGAAAAGGTTAGCCATCACTGGTCTATAGAGTGACAAAACCCAAAACAAGCCAGTGGGCTCCTACTTTCTTGGCCTTCCAGAAGACTATGGAAACCTGGATCTTCCCCCAGGTGCTGGGCAAGGAGGAGAGCTGAGTCCAGCACATGAGCATCTGGTGTAAAATGTTTTGGCGCCTTGGTTGTCTCTTAGAAAGGGTTATCTATCTATATAAAAGCGAAATACCACTCACGCATCATCACAAAATCTCCAGAACCATAAAGCCTACAAACTTGAAATTTGGCATGTATGTTCCTTTTGGCTTCTAGGTGCTCGCTACGAAAGGATTTTTCAAAATGACCATCATCAGAGCATTAGTATTTCCTATATTATTATTAACATGCTCTGATGCTAAGGAGTTCTACTCCCCCTCCCCACCTAAAAAGAAATCTGTTCCAAATGCAAAACACAAGCCGAGAAGAGGAATTTCAGTTTCAGTTTCAGTTTCACAGCAGCAAGCAGCTTTAGTACAAAACAGTTGAGCTAAGCCATGCCCAGGCTCCTTGCTGTCTCCTTGCTCACACAGCAAATACTGTTTCAATTTCCAAACAGCCCTCAACTCTCTCACACACTGACAAGACGCTAGCCAGATGAATACCAAAGGCACATTTCCCCCCCCCCCCTTATTTTCCTCCCCCAAAACTAAGCCCGATCACATAGTTTCGTAGCAAAGCATGGAGCTAGTTTCTTAATATGTTATGCGCAGGGGTGGGATTCTACCAGTTCGCACCTATTCGCTAGAACCGGTTGTTAACATTCTAAGCAGTTCAGAGAACCAGTTGTTAGAAGAAATTACTGGCCTAATCCTGTAAGGAAGGCAGGAAGGAAACATTCTGGTGTTGCTTACAGAAACTGCCTCTCCGTTAACCCCTATTACATTCTTGGCAGGACTAGACTTCCTGTCTCAGGAACGTCTCTGGAGTTTTTCTCTCCTCCTTTGCTGGTACTTTGCTTGTGTGGAGTGACCATTCAAAGTTACAATGGCACTGAAAAAAATGACATGACCATTTTTCACACTTATGACTGTTGCAGCATCCCCACAGTCATGAGAGGCCAGGCGAGGAGATGCGTGCCTCGATGTGAGTGATATTGAGTTGGCCACGCCCAGCCAATAACATGACCACCAAGCCACGTTCACCCAGTCACATGACCACCAAGTCACGCCCACCAACTAAGCCACACCCACAGAACCAGTTGTTAAAAAATTTGAATCCCACCCCTGGTTATATGGGTTTGATTGTTGTTAGCTTCCCAGGTTTATATTGTGTAAGATGAGCCTCTCTTAAATAAGCAAACACACAAAACCTCATGACCAGTTCAGCTTCCTATTTCCTAGGTCAGGAGACCTCAAAGCTATTATTCTTAGAAAATAAAATGATGAAACCAGGTGCTTTGGCTGGAAAAGTGTCTTGTGTTTAACTAATATTATTTTCACCTCCCGCCTGCAGTAGACACTGAATAAAGCTTCATGCAAAGAAAATAATTTTTGCTGAATCCTGTTTACAAAAACCTTTTGGAGCCCATTGCATGCATCCAGAGATGCAGGTTCCAATTCTGAGGCACTTATGGGATAGGGCCAAAAAGTCAAAATGTATTTATCAACCGCTAAGAAAACCAACACGAAGCAATAAAAATGCAATTCAAAAAAATAACAAAAATACAAAGTTCATTAAAGGCGGCTTCAGGATTCTACAATCGCAGCCCCATTCTTTAGAATTGTATGATCACAGCACCGCCTTAACTGTTTTGAGCCCTCCCTAGTGAACGCCCAAATTCTATCCCTATTCACCTTGTAGGGTTTCTGGCCATAAGAGAAAGCCTCCCACATCGTCACGCCATAACTCCAGACATCACTCTTGCTTGAAAACTTCCGAAACAGGATGCATTCTGGCGCATACCACTTCAGTGGCCACTTCCCAGTGGTCTTGGCCTGTGGGTGAGGACAGAACGGAAATTTCAATGAGATGAATTATTGGAGAAGACCAAGTATGTAGTCCTTGACTTACGACCACAACGGAGCCCAACATTTCTGTTGCTAAGCGAGAGAATTGTTGAGGGAGTTTTCCTCTGTTTGCAGCCATTTTTTTTTTTGCCACAGTTGTTAATTGAATCACTGCAATGGGTAAGTTAGCAACTGGCTTCCCCATTGCTTTGCTTGTCTGAAGGTTGCAAAAGGTGACCCAGGGACATCACAACTGTCATAAATATCAACCAATTGCCAAGCATCCCAATTTTGATCACGTGACCAGAGGGATGCTGCAACAGTCGTAAGTGTGAAAAACGGCCATAAGTCACTTTTTTCAATTCCGTTGTAACTTTGAACGGACACTAAACAAATGGTTGTAGGGATGTGATTCAACCAGTGTTACTACCAGTTCGGTGAGAGTGTGTTTTGTGCACGCCTGCGTGCTTTGCATGGGTGCATGTACAGCATTTGCTAAAAAACCTCCACTGTGCCACCCGGACAGCTGACAAGCGCTGCGCGTGGGTGTGCAGTGTATCAAAATCCTCCTTTTTCCTGTTTTTTTAACCTCAACTATGCCCCGCAAAGCAGCTGAGGTTGAAAAAGCAGGAAATAAAGGACAGCCAAGAGCCCAGACGGGCAGGTGGGCCAAACAGACGACCAGAAAGTCATCACAGCGAACCGGTTTAGTGTCAGCTGCTCTTCAGAGCTGCCGGTTCTATAGAACTGGGCTGAACCAGTAGCATCCCACCCCACTAGGGGTGTAAGTCTCTAGGACTACCTGTACAAGCACATATTTATTTCTCCTAAAATACAAAATGATGAGGGGAGGGGGGAGTGATATAATCCAGGGGTCCCCAACCACCGGTCCGCAGACCGGTACCGGTCC